GTTTCTTTCCTTTATGGTAGAGTAATGTTGTAATTTCATAAGAAGGAAGAAAGACAGCATATTTTATTGTATTCAGCGAGTTTTTTTAGACAACATAAAATGGCAAACCTGGAAAAACAAGCTGATGCTATCTTTTGAGGCTATCTTGTGACGCAAAAATGAGGTCATTTCAGTCCCCCCCCACTTAGAGCTATTGAAAAAACAATCCTTGGTCAAATCTGTTTTGACGCCGTTGGGAAAAGAGCTCATTTTAAATTTTGAGCAGAGCAGAAAAAAAAACTTTTGAAGAAAAAAAGCGTCAGATACTACCAATTTTTCACGGACTTTTCGATGGACTAGTTTAAAACTCAAAAAGGTCGAATATGGGCAAAAAAGACGTAACGGCGTCACAAAAAGTTAATCGTTGGTACAACTAATTCGTGTTGATAGATGTCCTTATCCTCTGTGCAAAAATCAATTATAAATAGCTACTCATACCGAAACTTCCGAGTTTGATGAATACTTTAACACATAGCCTAGACTTGTAGACACCTCAAGGCTGCATCTAATCATTGTATATTTAGAATACATGAAGCGAAGGGAATACGAAAGGCTACCCTTTTTTTTCTTCACAGACTACTCTCACACGTGTTAACGGACCTTCACATTTCACAATAACACCGGCCTACCAATGCGTGTTAATAGAGAAAGTTATGTTTGTTTGTTTGTTATTTTAAAACTCTAAAATTTAGAAAAATAACTTTAACAGACTTAGATATTTCTTACGTAATACATTATCTAAATTGAAAATAAATTTTTGATAATACAGTTAGTTTACGCAAAAATGGATTAACAATAGATAGTGGCTAATTATTATGTGCACGTGTCCTTTCACGTTTTCTAAGCACGTTTTCGATTAAAATTTTGTATAAAAGGAGTGTGCGGACACTGAAAAAGCGCTTACATCTAAATTTTTTTCTTCTTTCTAAGTCGTTGCTTTGATTTGATTTTTTACAATATGAGTAAGAGTGCAGCAGAGCGTATGAAAAAATATCGCGAGATAATGAAAAAAGTTAAAGGAAAATACGAAAATTTTCTTAAAAAAGAACGTGATAATAAAAAAGCAACGAAAACGAAACTCAATGTGGTGGAATTAGCAACACTGCGTACATAGAATAACTTACATCAAAAAAAGTATCTTAATAATAAAACAAAACGATTAATTAATAAACCTCCTCCTGTTGCATTTAAAAGTCGTCAATCGTCAAGATCAACACTAGTTTTGGTTATCATCCATTAACCGATTCTAGTGGCTAAGAACCTCTTCATAATTTCCAGAAATAAACTTTAATAGCTTAGCGTGGCGGAATTAAAGGCAAGAATCGTTAAAAGTTTCGACACAACCCTAAATGAAAATACTTTGTCACTCAAACCACTTAGATTCATGTTAGAAGGCTAAAAAAAGCATAAACGGTTCCTAAGATCGGTGTGAAAAAACATGGTACAGAAAAGAAAAGAAAAGAAAAAGGTTTGACGCCGTTACGTTTTGTTTTTTGCACTCATTAAGAAAAAAGTCATTCTAGCTGCCTAACCTTTTTTTCATTGGATAGCCCGCGAAAAACTCTACAAGATTTGCCGAGGCGAGATCTAGTCGAGGTTCAAGCGAGTCGTGGCGACGCGCGTTACTTGTCAATTAAGTAGAAGAATATGAATGAACAATCCATTAACCGATTACATTGATCATTAACTGACACCTATTCAATTCAACAATTGAATCTAAGTCAAGAAAAATAATTTGTTCTACCTATTCCTAGCAAAGCAGTTCACCTTCGGCAAGTAATTCGATGAGTGGCATTATAGTTTCTACTCTGAACCATTTCTTCTCTTATCTACTATAAAACAATTTCATGCGAAACACACCGAATTAGGATGTTTGGGGTCAATCATTGTAGGTTGATCAGCTTTTTTGATATAAAACAATATGGATAATCTTAGGCGACTGAATGATCGCCACCGAGTGCCTTTCTGTTTCACTAAACAATCCAATTGTTTTACTTGAAATGAAAAAACTCTACATAAGATAATAAGTGCAGATTCATACAAATAAGATCTTTAAAGTGATGTGTACCGATCACATTTTCTTTTAAAATGTTGTAGTCCATTAATGGGTTCGGCGCATGAAAAACAATATTGTTCCAAACATTCGTTACATGTCATCCAATTATCATCGCCCATTTTAACATTCAGCGTCTGACATGAAAGATTTGGACATGCTTTCACTCGTTTGACGATCGCCGAACCAATAAATGATCGATTATTAATAACAACGTTTTCGTTCTCTTTCGATGCTTCAGGCGCATCGAATTTCTTATTTATCTCTTCTCGAATAGATTCGACTGATTGAGCCGAAGAAGAATGATATAGCAATGAGTTTATCTTCGGATCTTGAGGTCCTTCTGAGGTCGGCCAAGTAAAATTATAATCACATCTGGAGCAATGCATATGTAAGCAGCCACCATTTTTTTCAATTCTTACATGACAATTTGGACATTGTTGAGTGTTTAATGCTTCCATTCGTTCAGCATTTAAGATTTCTTCTAATAAAGTGTCTTCTTCCGATAAATCAATAGTCACTTCACGATATCCTTGTCTAAGAAGTTCTCGTTCAGCTGCTAGTTTCTTTTGTTTTTCAAGTCTTGCTAATTCCGCTTTAGCTTTTTCTTCTTGTTTCGTCAATCGCTTTCGATCTTTTTCTTGTTCTTTTCGGGTTCGTTCACTTTCTTCTTTTTGTTGTTTTCGAATTGTTTCGAATTGTCGTAATCTTAATTGTTTAATGAGATAATCTTTTGGACATGTTTCTTGAAAATGAAAGACTTCTCGACATTTTTTACAAAATGTATAACGACATTGATCACATATGGCTAAATTATCATCACCATTGCCACTCAGAACAGCTGATTGACATCTTGGACACCAAATGACATCACTCATTGATTCTAAAGCTTGCTGTAATGTTAATCTTTCATATCTCTGGTATAATTGCTCATCTTGAATAATTTGTTTGATTTCATTGGGAAGTAATGGTTTTTGACAATGATTTTGTGGACAAAGAAGTTTTTCACCGAATCGACCATTTTTCAATGTCATTTGAACGTAACTATTTAAACATGATCGACAATAGAAATGACCACAACGATGAAGACGAATACAATCATTGCCGGGAATAGTGTTGGAACAGATCAAACAGGTTTGAAGTTGATTTTGAAATTGTTTTTCTTCGCGTTCTTTATTATAATCGATTAAATGCTGATAAATTTGATCGATATTCTCAGGTAAATAGCCATTTAATACACGTGGATCATTCATTTGGTCATCGACTGTGGTATCAAGGGTTAGTTCAGTGGTAATTTCCTGTTTAATTAATTCAATCCAATCATAAACACAAACTTCACCTTTTATAAACGGATGAGTATCAAGTTTTTGACAAAGATTTTTCAGGGATATTTTGGAAAAATAACAACAAGAAAGAATAAATGAAGGAGGATCGTCACTTGGATATCTATCATGATAATAAATTATCAGAGAAAATGGCGGTAAATGATGAAGAATAGATATTTTATCATTACATCGAACAACAAATGTTTGATCTAGATCAAAATCAATTAAAATCTCATACTGAGTATTGCCATAAAGGAGACAAAATTTTGTATCAAATATTGATTGTAATGCAAAGATTTCATCAGCTTGTTTTTCCAGGTTTGCCATTTTATGTTGTCTAAAAAAACTCGCTGAATACAATAAAATATGCTGTCTTTCTTCCTTCTTATGAAATTACAACATTACTCTACCATAAAGGAAAGAAAC